CCAGGCCCGACCAGGATGTGGAGGCTCTGGGCCAGACCGTTGCAGGCCAAGAGTTTAGGCTTCTCTGAACCAGTGTCCTATTTAACACGGGCGGCAAATGGTTTCATGGTTCAACAGTGCTCACCACCATCACCACTCCCCCTTGTGGGGTTTTTCAATGGCTTTATTGAGATATAGTTCACATACCACATAGTTCATCCACTTAAAGTAAGGGATTAGATCGTTTTTAACCATGAAGCTGTAGGACTATCACAATTGTAGAACATTTCATCACCTCAGTGAGAAACCGCATACCCTTCAGCCATCCCCGGTATCCTCCTGTCAACCTCTGTCCCTGCCAACCACTGTCTACTTCCTGTCTCTCTGGACCTGCATATAAATGGAGCCACACGGTGTGTGACTAGCTCCTTTCACTCAGTATCATGTTGTTTTGGGGTTTTTTTTAGGTTCATCCATCTTGTAGCATTTATCATTACTTTATCTCTCTTTACAGCCAAATTGTGTTCCATTGTATGGATATGCCACATTTTATTCATTTATCCATTGATGGGTCAATGGGTCTTTTAAAAGAAAGTCCAGTGCTGAGTCTGTGAGTTCTGTGGAGTTTCATGGCCGGCTCCATGCCCCTGCCCACAGGCAGTCCTGGAGTTTGCTGCTGCCTGGCCACATTCTGTTAGTAGCCAGGATCTCCTTCAGACAGGTAGGCGACTCAGCTCTGATATGGAGGATATTCAGCGTGAGAGGTTCTGGCTCAGCCATAGGAGGCAACAGTGATGTTAAAGTTTTTCTGGCACCCTCCTGCCAACAGCCCAGTTATCACACTGTGTGACCCACAATGGCCGGGGGTGGCCCCAGATGCTCAGGTATCTTTCCAGCGGGTAGTGCTGGCTCCAGAGGACCTCGGGGAGTTTTGCTCTAATGTCCCCCACCCGAGACCCAGAGGGTGGATCCAGCCACCTGTCTGTCTCTGCCCTGTGCCTTCTGCCTTTAACCCATCCTCCTTTCCCTAGGTTTGCCAAGTACTACAGTGACCTGACTGGTGCTGAGCGCCGCACGCTCATCAAGGCCTACGGCATCCGCTTCGACATCATAGTGTTCGGAAAGGTAGCCTGGCCTCCTGCTCCTGTCAGGGCTCTGGTCCAAACCTAGGCTTCTGGGTTGGCCAGGGACGAGGGGCCCCCTCCCTCACCTTTTACCTGCTTATGCCCTCTATCGCAACTTTTTCTTTTTCTCCTGTCATTTGTAGGCTGGGAAATTTGACATCATCCCCACCATGATCAACATCGGCTCCGGTTTGGCGCTCTTAGGGGTGGTGAGTGACTTAGCCTGCTCCTTCACCCCCGGGCCTGGGGCCCTCCTCAGCAGTAGTTAGCACAGCAAGATGAGCCCCTCCACTGCCATCTTGGTTCTTCCCCTTGACCTAAACTCCTTTCTAGAATTGACCCTCCAGGCTTGTTGCCCTTGCTGCCACCTCACCTCACCTTCCCTTCTCCAACACCACAGCCCTCTGGGCCTTGCCTTCTCCTGAGAGGTGAAGCCTTTCCTTTCTTTATTTTTTATTTATTTATTTTTTTGAAGCCTTTCCTTTCTTTGAAAGATTCCAGGCTTTTGGGGAAGGGGCATGCATAGAATAATAAACTAAAGCATCTTGGCTCATTCTTTTTTGCCCTGTGTCACACTCAGGCAACAGTGCTATGTGACATCATTGTCCTCTACTGCATGAAGAAAAGATACTACTACCGGGAGAAGAAATATAAGTATGTGGAGGATTATGAGCAGGTAGGCCACCTCCTGAACTCCAGAAGGCAGGAAGGCCCAAACACCTGCCTCCTCCACCTTTTTTGTACCAGTGGTGAGCACCCTGAGTACTGGGCCAACTAGGGGAGGCCCGAGCACAAAGGTGGTGCTATTTGGGCCTGTGGTCAGCCCAGGCGGCTGCACACCACTCATTCTCTGCTCCACTTCTAGACCGTCACTCTTTAAAATCTAACCTCATTTTAATTAGTGACATCTCAGGTTAGTTATGATAATGAATATTATGACAAAACCCCACACTACTTGAACTTGCCTCGCGTAGCAAGAGGGGTTGGGTCCCACGCTCTGAGACCCCCTGCACTAGGACCAACCTGTATATGTTCAGTTGTGAAGAACTGCCCAAAAGTCCTGGCTCACACCTGCCCTGAATGGTCCAGGCTTACCTGCGGGCAGCACATGGTGGGTACACATTTATCCATAAGCATATCAGTCAATGATAAGCATATCGTTCTTTGCAGGGTCTTGGTGGAGAGATGGACCAGTGATGCTTACCCCATACCTGGGCTCCCCACAGTCCTCATCAGAGCACAGCACGGAGAAAAGGCTGCTATGTCACCTCAGGGAAGGTTCCAGAAGCTGAGTCCATCTCCACTGCACAAGGACATCATGGTCACCCAGCTGTTTTGTGTGTAGGATGTGCAAAGTAAACCCCCTGCACAGTGGGTTGCCTCAACTTGGGGATGTTCGGGTGACCTCTGGCCCAAGGGCAGTGGTGAGTACTACTGCCACTGCAGGGGCTGGGGCCTCACCTAGGGCCAGCCTTCCTCAGGGGCTCCCAGCTCCAGCTCCCTGCAAGACAGGCCCAGCTGTGGTCGGGCAGCCTTGTTCAAGCACTTTACAAGGGAAGGAAGGACAGCTAGGTGTGGTCACTAGACCTTGAGCACACCTGGGCTGCTGCTTCCCTCCCCCGTCCATGCTGTCACAAGACAGAGTCTGTGTATCCTCTGAAAGAAGAGGCATATTAATGTGGTCGAGGACCAAACATTAAAATGATTTTCTCAATCTCTGCCGGGTTTCATAGCATGTATCTAGAATTTTCCTCCCTTCTCTTTTACTTCGACCCGTAAACCCATCTGTTGTCCCAGTTCACGGTGTTCAGAAAAAAACTTCTTGAGTCTGTTGTTGGAGCTTAGGTGTTTTTCCCCTGACTTGACCTTCTCTTGAAGGCCTTAAGAATTTTGATCTGAGGTTGTTGTACCATGATTTTGTACCAGATTTTGTACCATGGTGACTACTTGTCTTACCCGCACGTGCGGTTTTTTTGGTTTTTGTTTTTGTTTTTTTTACCTATAATTGTGACACTACACTATGGAGGACACAATTTTAGGTAACAAGAACATGGCTTATCCTCTCCCCTCCCCACTTGCTTTCCAGAAGTCTCCAGCTACAAGCAGCACCACCTACACCTACTTTGAAATGTTAATAAAGTTATTTCTAGCTATGCCTTCACACCAACTTAATTCTGCAACAAGTCTTCAGGAGCTGCTTGTCTCCCCCCCCCCCCAATCACGAATTCATTTCCAAGTACTAAAGGGAACGTTTATTTTAGAAGTGCCTGCTTCTGCTGGATAAAACTGGGCTTTTCTTGCTTGGGGGGGGGCGCAAAAACAAAACAAACATTTAACAAACCCCTTTGAAAAAGCTCTGGCTTGTGCTGCCTTTTTCTTTTTAAAGATTTTATTTATTCATGAGAGACAACAGAGAGAGGCAGAGATATAGGCAGAGAGAGAGGCAGGCTCCTGCAGGGAGCCTAATGCAAGACTCAATCCCAGGACCCCGAGATCTCAACCTGAGCCAAAGGCAGACACTACCACTGAGCTACCCAGGAACCCCCGTGCTGCCTTTTTGAAAGAAAGAAAAAAAAAAAAGCCTGCTTGAAACACACGGATCAAGTGGAGCTGGAATTTTTTAGGGACAGTTTTTCATCTGGCAGGCTAAGAAGTGATAGTTAACAGAGTGGGGGAGACTTCTTTTGGCCTCCTTTTTTCTCAAATGTAATGCTAAGGCCAGCTGGGGTGCAGGATGGGGAAAGGATTGCTTATTTTACTCACCATTCAGCTATATTCCCACTGGCTGGCATTCCCCAGGCTGCTGCTTAAGTAGCACCCATGCACCCATGGACAGATTTCCAGTCTCTGGAACTCCTACCTAAACTCTGCAAAGTGATGCACCTGTCTGCATGTCTTAGAGCTTTCATTCAATTCTCAGTGGAGTCTTTGGATAGGAACACCTGCTCTTGACTCTTAAAGACCAGTATTCCAATGTTACATTTCTGCAACAACAGAACAAGGAGCTTTCAGACTTCATCTGCCATCCCTTTTACCAAAAAACCTAAGCTCAAAGCCAATAAAGCAATGTCATGGGCTAGATTCACATTTGAAGTGCAGGGAACCCCCAGCCTCTAGCCTGAAGGAAGCATCAGTTCTAAGTCTCCAAATGCCATGAAAACCTGCAACTGGGGCACCTGGGTGGTTCAGTGGTAGAGCATCTGCCTTTGGCTCAGGTCATGATCCTTGGGTCCTCGGATCGAGTCCCACGTGGGCTTCTCACCCAGGGAGACTACTTCTCCCTCTGCCAATGTCTTTGCCTCTCTTTGTCTCTCATAAATAAATAAAACTAAAACAAACCAACCTGCAACTGTCCAAGCTCTGTAGAAGACTGCATTTGCTACCAAAGTTGGAACCCTTGGACAACTGACTTCACTTTCCTGAGCTTCACTTTGCAGGTGATAATCCATAAGATGGGATAAATACCTACCTTGTGGGGTGATGTGTCCTAGAACATGCCTGCTCGCAGGATGTGTTCCATGTGTAATTAATATTGCTCCCGTAGCTGCTCACCTGGTTGGTCTCCAAAGAAGAACTAGCAATTACCTGCCTGCTAAAACAGTGCTTCTCAGACTTCAGTGGGCACACAAGTTACCTGGGGATCTTCTTTAAATGGGGTCTGGGAACTTGCATTTCCACCCCACTCCCAGGAGATGCTGACACTCCCAGTCCAGGGACCACACTTTCAGTAGCAGGATACTAGGACATGGTTACACTGACATGAATAATATAATGCTGAATATGTTATACTGACGTGGACATCTGATCTCACAAAGGAAGAAAAACAGACATAAGGATGGATGTCCTAGAGATATCTATAAACAATGACCAACAAAAATGTCCCCAAAAGGCCTAGGCTTTGCACCATTTTGCTGTTTATTTCAAGTTTACAGAGAAGCTTAAACATCTGTGGAAAAACACCAAAGGCTTATTTTTCTCTTAAATTCATGTACTTTTAAGTGATAAATACACAGTATTTAACTTTGTACACCTGATAAAAGGAAAATGCATAGTAGAAAGGATCAGGAATAAAACAGAAGCATCGGGCATTAAATCAGACACAGAATAGAAAAGTTAGCAGTTCTGCGAAACTCGGCCCATAAAGCTGCAAAGAGGATGGGAACTGACGACCTTGAAACCTTCTCTAGCACCTTGGAAACAAGTGGAGGTCATAGTTCTTCCCCCCAGCAACACAAAGCTCTCCTTTGGAAGATGAGTGAGAGCAACAGGTTGAGCCCACTTCAATGCTCAGGTGTTTGCCTCTTTGTTCCAGAAAGGGTGGGAGCCCTAACTCACAGGAAAGCCAGACCACTGGGGAGACAGCCTCTCCAGCCCCCAGGGCCGTCAAGGGGCTAGCTAAGGCTTTCTCGGAGCCCCTGGTAGGGCTGTGGAAGAGATGGTAGAAGTGGAGCAGGACAGAGGATGTTGGGGCAAGAACCTGTGCAAGCCCCAGTTGCTTACACCAAGTTGGTCCCACAGATGAGCCAACAATGGAAGAAACTGCCAGGGCACCCCTTTTGCTCACCTGGGAAAGCTGCCCATGATGGCTTCTCCCCCTTCCTGACAGAGCCAGCTTCTCAAAAGCCAACGTTTGTGCTCCAGGAAAATGGTAACTCTACCGCATGATGGTACAGCCCTCTGCTTATCCTTTTTTGGGGGTGGAGCTTCCTTCACACAGCTTTCTTTGGTGTTTCTTTGAAAAAAAGTTATGAACCCACCCACCTAAACAGCCGACATTCCACACAGGAAACCTTAAGTGGGGAGTTCTGTGGCAGAAGAAATGTTCTTACCCGATGCAACTGTGTAAACAGGATTTCTGCAGAAGCTCCGCATGCTGCCAGCCCGCCCTGGGTGAGCCACTCGGCCAGACCAGAGTCCACACAGACAGGCGGGGACTAAGGACTCTAACTACTGCAAGGTGCTTATTGCAAACTAACCAGACCCCAGCTGCTCCCAGAAGGGGTGGTGCCCATAAATATAAACAAGCGCAGAATGCAAGAGGAAGTACCAGGTCACAAAAAGAAAGCAGGCCAGACAACCCTCCATCTTGACGGCTGTCCTTTGCTCTTGGAAACCAGCATCCCCTATTTCTATACTGTTTATAAAATAGCAAAAAAAGTTGAGCTAAATGACAGTCAAGAGCTTACAAAGATCTGTGGAAGCCAGGAACACCCAGGTTCTGTGAATGCTCTGGGTGGCGGGGGCACGAGGTCTTGCTCTGCTGTCTCTCTGCAGAAGATCCTCCTGCCAATGATGATCAGAAACTACAGGCAAGCATGTCCTCCGAGGCCAGTTACCGACACCATTTCCCCCAAGCCGGAGTCCGCAAAGCACTGGGAATCTCCCAGGGCAGAGGCCTTCCTGTTCTCCTCCCCCTTGAACTTGGCTCAGCCATCTGTGGCTCCGGAAAGAAGTCACACTTAACTTCAATGAAACTTCCATGTCTGAGATGGAACCCAAAAAGGTAAAGCCTTTTCTGTCTGGACCTTTGGCTTACAAAACAGAACTCCCTGTGCCAAGCCCTGGTTCTCCTGGGCCCTGAGGACTGCTCTAGGTTTCAACCACCTTCTCTAAAAGGGTGCCCCAAAGTGACTGTGTAGATCCCAATAGGGCTTTACCCGTAAGGATGAGCATTTGTGTCTCTGTCGCATCAGAGTATTTCCTCACTGGCCCTCCAGAAACTGTTTCACTAACCACAACAATCAGCTAATATTTGAGAAAACAAAACCTTGGCAGTCTCTAGAATACGGAGGTTATAAACAAGCCAAGCTGCTAATATACAGGCACAGGTTTCATGGGCTCTAACTCTGATCACATGCCTAAAGCTGGGGAACGTATCCTGGAAGCTCTAAATGACCTCTGAACTACTCTAGACTTCAGTCTAGAGAATTGAAAATATTTTGTTTACTCTTAAGTCATGTAATGTACATGGAAGTGTAGGATTTCACCCTGAAGTTTTTGTCATTGAACAAGAGATTTACTAGAGCTCAGTTAATGTTTCAGAAACCTGCTGTGAGTGGCTATCACTCCTTTAGGTGAAACTGCTCCCTGCCCAACCACACGGAACACCCTTTGAGGGATGGAAAATCCCCTTTGAAAAGCAATTAATGAGCTTCAAGCCCTTTCCCTTTTCCTGACTGCAACTTTACCCATTAAAAAAAATTTAAGTCCTTCTTACAAATAAGGTGCACCAAAGCTCCCTGCAGCTACTGAAGGCTAGCCCTACCCTGACTCTGTGAGTCCACCGTCCTGGAAGGTGCCACAGCTTGGAGTTTGGGGCTTTCGAGGTTTGCAGGGGAGTCACACTCCCTCTTCTTCTCCCTTTCAAACGCAGCAACTAACTCTGTGGTCTCAGCCCACACCGCCAGAGTTTTCTGCCAGTTTTTCATGGTTTTCGAACCCCACACACATTCACCTTAGTATATCTGACATGGTTCTGAGTTCACAATGAAGGATTTTTGGCATAAAAACGTTTTAAAAAGCAATCGTCCCAAAATGCAAGTGGCTTTGGGTCTGCAACTCCTCACACCTGCCTGTTCAGCCAGCCAGTGGCCAAGGTCGATGTCATGGAGTCAAGTCTTTTTTTTTTTGGTCCCCTTTAAAACAACAAAGGAATAAAACAAAACGGAACAAAACAAAATAAAACACAAAAACACCAGAGATGACGGTCAAGGCTCTACACACGTGCTGGGTTTCCGTAGGACATGCTGCTATGGAAACGCAGGGTGCAGCCTGCATGCGAGGTCGGGTGTCCGGGCAGCTACTCCATCGCCTCGTCGGGCCGCAGAGGATGCATGCGAGCGCGGGGGCCGGGGGCCGGGGCCCCCCAACTCTCGGTGCAGGGACCGCCTTTCACAAGAGCACTTCCTCCTCCCCCACGGGGGCCGGGTCGGGGCCCTGGAGGCTGTCTTCGCTGCCTTGCTTCCTGCTCACCGAACAGAAAACCCACGTTAAGGCAAGGCTGCTGCAGCTGGAGCCTCTCCCTTATTCCCACACCACCTGGAAGGTCACTGACTTAGCTTTTAGAGTCTCTCCCCTTTCCTCACCTATACAAAAGTTTCAAAGGAGACATTATATCCCCCTTTGTAAATGGAGAAGCAGCATCACTTGCCAAAAATAGAAAAGAACTATAAAAATAGATGCAAACCTATCTATTTAACACCTAAAATCATGCCATGTGAGGAGCGTGTGCGGCCAGCCTTGGGGACTGTTCGTGGAGGTTTTAGGTATTCTGATGTGTTCCCTCCACCCCAACCTTCCTTCTTCAGGCTAAGATTGAAGATTAATCTTTAGTTACTTGAAGGTGAGCTTCCAGGGGGCAGTGGTCAGGACCACCTGGGTTTGGCCTGGCACACAGCCAGCCTTTCAGAAACAGTGGTCAAGAGAACCATCCCCAGCACACAGGCCCATGGGACACTCTGGATGGAGAGAGAAGGGCCCTCCTCTCAGCAAAGTGAGTGATCAGAGCAGAAGAAACCAAGGAGGTGGGAGTAAAGGTGTCCTTGTGTCCCTGACAGGTCACATCCTGAAGTGCCCTCAGCTAGACCTACCTGAGTGGAGGGGGGACACCCTAATTCATTAGGGAGGTGGGAAGGAAAATCCCTGAGGAGAAGCCCAAGTCCCATGCCATCAGCCAGCAGCGTTGGCCCTTCGAAGAGAAGCTGCTGGGCTTGCCACAGCAGACATGTCCCTGGCCAGAAGGGAACCTCCGTCCCAGCACAAGGGACGAGAGTGTGATGTCTGTACACTCCTAGGAAGAAACCCCTCTCTGTTGAAAGAGCAGGCTCATTGGCTTTTATGTTTCTGCCAAAGAATAGGGGGTCAAATCTCCCAGGCAGGAGAGCTGTAACTAGATGTCAGATCAGGTCCTCAATTCCTGCCCTAGAAGTGCCTGCATGTACCAGCTGGCTCTTGTTGCAGATGGCTGGCAGGCCTTAGGCCCGAGGTCTCCGACATCTGTATAAACCCTTGGAACTCCAGAGTGCTGGGTCATGTGGACAATCAAAGCATCCCGCCAGCAGGCTTAGGGCAATCTCCAGGTCTTGCTGGGACTGCAGGTGAGGGAATAAAGGATTGGCCCAAAGGCCAATCTCTTGGTAGCTTGTGATTCTGAGCTCACTGAAAATAAGAAAGAGATGACAGACTTGCAAACAGGAGGCAAACCCTAAAACTTGAGATTGAGGAAAAAAAGGCCAGTCCCTGTCCACTCCCTGTCACCTGGGAGGCTGAAAGAATAGGCGGTAGAGAGCCGGGGGATAGCCTCACAGGGATGAAGCAGTCTTCTCAGGCTGCCAGCAACTGGCTGATTGTTAACAGCCACTTTCCCTGATCATAAACAGTCCACTACATTATTCAGCCCTTGACTCTCGGGATGAGGGTCGCCAATAAATTTCATCTCATAAGTCAACTCCTAACACACAGACATGGCCGCTTGCTTATATGTGAATGCTTGTGGCAGCATTCATTCGGGACAATCAAATGCCCATCAATGTTAACAATGCCCCAAATGTTAACAATGCCCATCACCTAATGAATGGATGAGTAAGATGTGGTCTACCCGTACAATGAAATATAACTGGGCCACAAAAAGAATGAAGCTCTAACACCTGCTACACTGTGGATGAACCTTGGAACATGAGGCTGTGAGAGAAGCCAGTCACAGAAGATCACGTGTTGTATGATTCCACTGATGTGAAGTGTCTAGAATAGGCAACTCTATAGAAACCTCGGAATAGGGAATTGGTGGTGATAGCTAAGGGTACAGGGCTGTGTAATATATGAATTATATTTCAATAAAGCTGCTCTTAAAACACAGAAATGGCTTTCCAGCTATAAGATTTTAAACATAAAAAAAAATTTAATACTGAGACGCCCGGGTGGCTCAGCAGTTTAGCGGCACCTTCAGTCCAGGGCCTGATCCTGGAGACCTGGGATGGAGTCCCACATCAGGCTCCCTGCATGGAGCCTGCTTCTCCCTCTGCCTGTGTCTCTGCATCTCTCTCTCTCTCTGTGTGTGTCTCTCCTGAATAAATAGATAAAATCTTAAAAAAGAAAAAAACACAGAAATGGAGCTCCCAGTCGAGGATAAGGTAGTGAGTTGAGCTCGATGGAAAGAATACTGGAATTTCTATCTTGCCATAGGCAGTGGGGGGATGAGAAGCAGCAGGAATGCTAAGTGTTTATGATCTTAGTCCACAGGGACAAAAATTCTCATCTGTCCTGGGACATGCTGAAAATGCTGAGAAGACACTGCGTTTAGAAAAGGGATGGTCAGGGCACCTGGGTGGGCTCAGTGGTTGAGCATCTGCTCAGGTCATGACCCTGGGATTCCAGGATCGAGTCCCACATCAGGCTCCCTGCAGAAAGCCTGCTTTTCCCTCTGCCTGTGCCTCTGCCTCTCTGTCTTTCATGAATAAATAAAATCTTTTTAAAAAAGAAAAGAGATGGCCAAAGGAAAAGGTTCAGATCCACCCTGGGGACAGAAGATTGCTACATTAATTTGCAGCAGGCTGGAAGGGAACTTATTTTCTAGGTCCTAACTCATCAGAGAAGAAAGGGTAGATGCTGGAGAGCCCCAGAACAATGCATGCCTGATCTATGCTCTGACCACATGGACCCAGGGCAGGGGCAGCCACGGGATCCTGTGACACAGCCTCAATGCCACTGACGTGCACTGAGCATATGTGGGTACCAGACTGGGTCAGAAGACCTGGGTGGATTCACAGGCATTCCGGGTGGAGCGCCATGCACCCGCAGCCCCAGCCCACATGCACGACCACCATCAGGTCCAAGCCCCAGGATGACCTTTGTTTTTTAATCTAGGTCCAGAGGCCCAAGGTGAGCCTGGGCGCAGCAGCCCAAGCTGGGAGGAACCTCCGCCTGGTGGGGATGCCCCGTGCTCTGCAGCTGCCCCCGCCCCCAGGCTCCGGCAGAGGCTACAGCGCAGGCAGGCAGGCATTACCTTGGGCTCAGACAGGGGCTCACACTCCCTGGTTGGTTTTTTGCTGGAATGGCCAGAGGGGAGGGAAAAGGGAAGTGAGAAGGGACCCTTGGGATCTATGAGATGCCTGTCGCCCACCCCAGAGACACTCAGACCAAACACCAGCTTCACAGAGCTGCTGCCAGGGGGATCTTGAGCAGGGCACCTCTGCGTGGCACAGAGGGTCATGTGGGTGAGATAGGCCTTGCTCCTCCATCACAGGGCTGATAATCCCACCATCAAGCATGCATGTTTCTGGGCCACAGAAATGCCTTCTGATTGTCAAGAGGTCCCCCAGTTAAAGTGCAAGTTTCCCTGAGAAAGGTAGAACTCCAGCAGGGGCTCACTATCCACAAAAGGAGCTGGGCTGAGTTGGGGTGGGGCAGAACCAGAGACAGCTGCTCCAATGTTCCTACTGAGCCTGGGAGATCTGGTCTGAGTCATTCCAGATGCTTCGCTCCAGGGATGGGCCTGGACGGAGTGGGCTGGGCAACACTGCCCTGGTCCAGCCTCTCATTCCCCTACCCAGAGTAAGGCAGGTGGACACTCACGTGAGCAAGTTTCCAGGGGCTGACAATGAGCGCTCCTCCCGCCGGCTGCCCTCAAATGGGTTCCCAAAAGAGCGTTTCCGTATCATGGTCTTCACCAGGATCTGAAGGACAGAAGAGGGAGCTGGGCCACCTGGGGGAGACTCCAGGCCACATTTCCCCCAATGCCGTCTCCCTTTTCCTTTCTCTCCCAGTTACTCCCAAGGCTTGTGGTTGGTGACAGGCCTTTGAGAGATCCTGGGCAGCATCCCTCCCACTGAAGGCACAAAAACCCAAACCATCACCAAATCTGACTAGTTCATGTCCAAAACCATTCACAACTGGGCAGCCTGGGTGGCTCAGTGGTTTGGCACCGCCTTCAGTCCAGGGCGTGATTCTGGAGACCCAGGATTGAGTCCCATGTCGGGCTCCCTGCATGGAGCCTGCCTCTCCCTCTGCCTGTGTCTCTCATGAATAAATAAATAAAATCTTAAAAAAAAAACCATTCATTCCTCCTGGCTGCCAATGAGATAAGGTTGAAATCCCTCGGTCTTATCCTAACCTCATCTTGGTCTACCTGAGCCCTAGAGAGCTGGCCAGTACTATCCTTCCAGTACACTTGGCACCATGTATCTTACCTAGCCAACCCGACACCTGCCCTCTTGGCCCATCAATCTGTCTCATCTTCAAATCTGGGCCTTTCTTTTTGGTGAAAACTATCTGACCACCCCAACAAGAAACCAGCTACTCTTTTCCCGGCCAAATTCAGGGGCTGCACTTTTTAAAAACTGAAATAGAAGTCCCATAGTAGAAAATTCACCATTTTAAAGTGTACAGTTCAATGATTTCTAGTATATTCACATCACTACTGACTTTCAGAACATTTTATCAACCCAGTACTCACACCCCATTTCTCCTGCCCCCAGGCCCTGGCAACCACCAATCTGTGTTCTTTCTAAGGATTCGTCTATTCTGGACATTTCACATAAACAGAATCACATAGAATGTGGCCTTTTGGGTCTCACTTCCTGCACTTAACATCATGTTCTCAAAGCTCCTATGGTTGCAGCAGGTATCAGCGCTTCGTTCCTCTTCATAGCCAAATAATATTCTTTCATATGGAAATGCCACATTTTGTTTATCCGTTCATCCACTGATGGACATGTGAGAGGTTTCCACTTTTTGGCTATTGTGAATAATGCTCTATGAATATTTGTGCACATGTTTTTGTGTGTGGATGTTTTCTACACAAAATGTTTTTGTTTTTCTTGGGTATATACCCTGGAGTGGAATTCTTAGATCATGTGGTGACCCCATTTAACATCCTAAGGAACTACCAGTGTGTTTTTTACGGTGGTTACATCACACAAAGGTGCCAATTTCTCAGGGGACTGAATTTTAGTGGAGGATAGGAAACACCTGAGCAGGTGTAAGAGCTGAGGAAACACCCTAGGACATTGAGGGTGGCCTGCCCACAGACTACTGGGAGGGAGAGGGAGAGGGAGCCGAGAGGTCCCAAAGGTCCATCCAAGGCTGAGATGCATGGGGGGCAGGCTTATTCACTGCTGGTGATGGGAACTTGCTCATGTGCCCCTTCACCCACTCTAATACAGACTGAGTCCCCAGCTTGGTTAGCAAACACCTGCCTAAGGAGAGGATCCCTTGGGAAAAGGTGCTACCCTCATCATATCCCGTGGCCCCTGCTCAGCTTCCCTTGGCCACCCAATCTTCTGCCTCACTTTCACTGATCTGGCCTATCCTTTCCAAAACCCAGGTCTGATTCCCTCATTCCCTGACTTAAAGTTTTTCACCCAAAGGACTTTGGAACTTAACCTGCTGCTAGCCAGAGAGCCAGGGAAGATTCTGGAGCAAGGGAGCAAATGAGTTATTTTTGGTGATGCTTTTGGCTGCTGTAACCTATGAAGGAATTTTCAAGGAAAAGACCTCAGCCTGAAAGGCACTAGCCCCCACCCCTCAAGCAGAGTATGGTGCCTCTTCAAGCTGTTTTATGCATTGACCGAGCTTCTGAATTAGTTGGTGTGTATGCTGCTAAGAAGAAATCTAAGTATTTAAAAAAAACACGGATGGGGCTGCCTGGGTGGCTCAGTTGGTTAAGTGTCTGCCTTCGGCTCAAGTCATAATCTCAGGGTCCTGGGGTCGAGCCCCAAGGGGAGCCTACTTCTCCCTCTCCTTCAGCCCTCTCCCCTCTTGCTTGTGCTCTCTCTCAAATAAATAAATTATTAAATCTTTTAAAAAATAACACACTGATGTTCCTAAAGGTGGAAACACCTATCATCTGAAAAATGGATAAACAAAATGTGGCCTATCCATGCAATGGCATATTATTCAGTTACAACAGGGCACGCTACAACACGGATGAACATGGATAAACACAAAGCTGAGTAAAAGCAGCTAGGCACAGAAAACCACATACTGGTATGATTCCACTGATAGGAAATGCCTAGGAAAGGCAAGTCCAGAGAGACAGTCCTGGTGAACTGGAAATCACCAGGGGCTGGTGAGAGGGAAGAACAGCATGACTGCTAATGGGTACAGGGTTTCCGGGGTGGGGTGGATGGAGGACGAAAATGTTTTGGAATCACAGAGGTGATGGTTGCACAATGTCATAAATGTAATAAGAGCCACTGTATTGTTCACTTTAAAATGGTTAGTTCTATGTTACATAAATTCTATGTCATTAAAAAAGAAGAGAAAAACACTGACTTTTCACTGAAGGCCACGCCCCCTGGCAAGGTGTTCACCCTCCCTTCCTCCCTCGCAAGCCTGGTGTTCTGTGGTTCCTGGAACACACCAGCCCTTTCCTCTGTGCCTCTCCAGGTGTCGCCCCCTCCACCCCTACACACTCGCACCACCCCCCATCTTTTAGTCCCTCTGCAGTAGCCCCCGTTTCCTCCCTGGTGGCCACATTCTATGTTCCACATGGGGTCTTCCAAAGACCATTTCTGATGGTGCTACTCTCCTGATTCAAATGCTACAAGTGCTTTGGACATCTCTTGGGACCATAATTTAAATCTCTTCTGGGGCCTCAGGTCTTGTGTGGTCAGGCCCCATCTCCTACCCAGACTCATGTCACTATCCCTCACCTTCCCCACCCTGCTTCAGTGGCCCTGGCTTTCTTGAACTTTCCTGTTGGTCCTAGCTTCCTCCCACCAAAGGATCACCACGTTTGCTCTTCCCTCTGCCAGAAACCCCCTCTTCCTGATTCTGCGTTGGCCCAGTTAACACTCCCATCCACTCAGTGCACATCCGCTTCTTCCAGGAGGTCTTCTTCAACCCATCAGCTTGGCCACATGCCCCTCTTGAGGGTCCAAGTCCCCCTTAGGGGTGTACTTCACAGCCCCTGTTACATTATACATTTATTTGTTGGTGGTTTGCCCAGCATCCGCCTCTCCAAGATGGCAGGCACACCATGTTCGTTTCACTCATCACGTACCTCCTGCTCCCAGACCTCTAAGGGTCAGAGACCTTCTCCTAAGAATCCTGAGCCCAGAACAGAATAACCCATAGTGGGCACCTGGATCTAACACCAACTGCCTCCCCCACTGTGGGTGTAGGACATGAGTGCAGGGAGTGGATGAGAAAGAGGGAGTGAGTGTGGGTGAGTTTTAACAGTGAAGGTCATGCAGAGGCCCCAGGTAGGGGAGGAGAAGGAAGATATGAATGGATGCCCCACCCCAGGGGCTCAGGTTTTGGAAGAAGGAGAGAAAGTGTGTGGGGAAGCAGGAGGGAGAAGTGCAAAGCTGGGAGAGAAGGAGCCAGCATTTAGGCTCCTAAAGGGGTGGTCACTTGAGGCCAGACACTGTGTCTTTTTGGAAAGTCTCACCAGCTCCTTCCAGAGGAAGAGTCCTGCCTGCCAGCTGGAGCCAGTACTAGCCAAACACACCCCAGGCCTTTCACAGGGGCCTTAGTGGGTGGCCAGCTGCATTCTGCCCCTGGGACTGCTGCCTGGACCCCCAGCCCTTGACGATCCCGGTCACCTTCCTGGAGCCAAACTCCCACCCGAGCAGGAGACTGGCCAGTGAGTGATTCCCAGAGTCTCCAAGGTTAAGCCTGAGGACTCCACATTCTGGATCTTTTTTCCTGGGCCAAGGAACATAAGGCCATTAAAGTGACCTGGGAGCCCCAGCCCCTAGCCCCGGTAGCTGCCCACAGGGCAGATGCAAGACAAACTAAGCCATTTGCTCTGAAGACAGAAGAGCCAGCCAAGTAGGAGTTCCATCTTAGAGACCTCGGCTCCAGCTCCACTCCTGGCACCTGCCCCAGTCCTTCTCCTCCTGCCGCGTGCTCTAAAAGCAAGAATTCCAGAAAGGGTGATAGAATCTGTGGGGAAGAGCCACCCATCCCACAGTGACCAGAATCTGGCCGCAGATAGAGCTGACACTACAAGGGGCAGGGGCCTCCTGCCCTGATGTATGACCAAGGCCCAGAGCCTGATAGCTGGGAGTCAGGGACAGACCCGGGCATCCCAACTCTCAGGCTCAGTATCTGCTTCTCAGCTGCCCTCCTGTGTCCCGGCCCATCCTTACAGGCCCGCCTCAGGCTGTCCCTGTTCTCGGTCAGTGGTTCGTTCTGCCTTACCACGGTCGCCAGGCTGGGAATGTGTTTGACCGAATTCTCGACCTCCTCTTCGGTCACCTCGACCAGCGTGCAGTTCTCGTCCTCCGATGGCAACGGCTCCGCCCCGTGCCTCGTGACCCAGGGGTGCAGCTTCAACGAATGATAGGAGGGGTGAGGGGCCGGCGACTGGCCCCAGAGGTCGGAGAGTAACACCAAGGCCCTGCCAGTGAGCGGAGCCAGGGAGGGAGTGCGGGAGGGCAGAGGTGGAGGCCTGAGGTTAGGCATGCAAAAGAGCTGGCAAGCCAGGCAGCGGGTGGGGGAGTGAGTGAGATGCAAGAAAACGTGGAAAAGACAGAGAGACAGAGAATGGGAGGGAGCCACCAGGCCCAGATGTGTGCCGGACCGCATTCTCCATCTGCCCCAGGTCTTGACAGAAGTGACCAGAATTTGGCATCTGCCTTGTACGGTTGCCCAAGGAGCACCCATCGCCCCTTAGCGACTTTTCCTGATGCCCGGAAGGCTCTGCTCAGAACAGACAGATCCTCCCCATTTCACAGAAGGCTAAGAGAGGCTTGAGGAGGCACAGTGAGACCAGTTAGAAGGACACAGTCAGGAGAGGACCCAGGCAGGGATCTTCCCCACCCCACTACCCACCCCTGGGGTCCAAGCCCTTATCTGTAATTATTTGGCCTCCCTCTCCTCAAATCCTAGTTCGCTAGATGCCTAAAAACTTCTGAAGCAAACCTCTAGATTTCCATAAGAGTCAGATGTGTGCATGTGGCATTGGTCTGGGTGTAGGGGGTATACAGGGATTTCTCCTAACAGTGATTTCAGCAAAAGGATGGAATTCAGCAGGCTGGAGAGAGGGTGTCAAATTGTTCACTAATTTCCTGCCACCCTCACTGAGATTTCTCAAAGGGATGGGCAGGGGCAGGGTAAGGATCTGGGACTTTGGCAGCCGGGGTATGGAGCACACAGAGACCCCAGCCTGGTCTAGCCCAGGGAGGGTGGATGCCATCAGCCCAAGCCAATCAGAGCGAGCACTAGCTGCTCCACTGGCAACAGATTCCACTTCCATGATCACAGTTAACACGAGTTCAAATCCTCCTCCCCACTCCCCATTCCCTCCAGCAGCCCGGAGGCCCAAGACAGGGGAGGGTAACGGTGCCAAGGAGGGCGCAGTGCTGTGAACAGAGGGGCGTGGGGCCTGGCCGAGGCAGGGCTGAGCCAAACAATTCCAAGCAGAGGACACAGGCCTGGCCCATGGTGCACATCCCATGGCAGAGCAAGGGCCCCCCGGTACCTTGATTTCTGGCACCACAATCCTTGATTCTGGGTTCTTGTCCAACATGCGGGTGATCAGATCTTTCAAGTCCTCAGCTATGTCGGGCCTGGGCGGGGTGAGGGAGACACATCAAGGGTGGGAAACACACACCAAGAGCTTAGAGAGGAAGGGGACTCAGCCCAGACAGGTAATACTCACTGATCTGGAAATTCCAGGGCCTGACTCTTGATCTTACTATGTAAACACATAATCCGCTCGTCCATGAACGGGCACTGTGAAGAGAGGTGAGGGACAGAGTGGCTGTTGATGGCAGGCACAGCAGTCCTGCCACGGCTACCCTGTGTCAGCGTCACTCTACGTAGGCTAGAGCAGGGTAATAAATGGCCAGTAGCCCAATCAAGCGAGGAAGCAGTTCCCACACCCACAAGTCTAAAAGAACCAGGAACGTCCTTCCAGAAGGAGCCCTTCCCAACCACACTGAGGCTATCTTCTGTAGCTGTGCTTTAATTTACCTACTTATACAAAAGCAAAGACTCCTCCTCACCACCTGCTGGGTGAACAATAATAATAGTAAGAACAATACATAAGATGTAGCAGCAAGAGCAGTGATTTGTGGGGGCTTAACCTGGACCAGGCCCCAGACAGAGGTTTCTCAGGATGAGTACTTCTTCATTGCCTATTCCTTCTACCTGGAATGTTCTTCCCACCCGCATCTGCATGGCTCATTTTCTCCCATCATGCAGGTATCGGATCAAAGCTCACGTTCTCGGGGAGGCCCTCCTGAGCTTCTGTCTAAAGCAGGGCACCCGCCCCCCAACCACCATGAGATTTCTCATCAGAGCTCCTATCCCTGACATATTCCATTTGTATTCGTTTACTGTTTAACCCCCGCACAGGATCATCAGCTCTAAGAGGGCAGGGATTTCTGCCTGTCTTGCTATGGCCGCTTATCTAGTGCTCAGAAACATCCCTGGTGCAAAGCTGGGGTTTGATAAATACCTGGTTGAATTTACAAATGCTTGAATTATTTCAGGTGATCCTCTCAGAGCCTCAAGAAATTATAAATATTCTTCTCATTTTTCCAGAAGAGAAAAACAGAAGCTCAGAGAGGTGACATGTCCAGGGAAGTGTAAAGCTGGGATTTAGCCTAGATTGAGCTGACTCTGAAGCCCATTCACGTACCACCTCCCCTCCCTGGTGACAAATCAGTGCTCTCACTTGGTGGAGGAACTGACGCAGGAGGAGCTCAGGTACTGTGCTGGAAAAAGGAACCATTATGTGGGGTGTTCAGAAGGTTGGAAAAAGTCACAGAATAGGACCTCATCCTCTCCTATCCAAGGAAAATTCTTTCATTAGGAGCAGTAACTTGAGGACATCTGGGTGACTCAGTGGTTGAGCATCTGCCTTCAGCTCAGGTGGTGATCCCGGGGTCCTGGGGTAGAGTTCCTCACTGGGCTCCCTGCAGGGAGCCTGCTTCTCCCTCTGCCTATGTCTCTGCCTCTCTCTCTGTCTCTCTCATGAATAAATAAATAAAATCTCTAAAAAAAAAAAGAGCAGTAACTTAAGATAAGAGTTTGGATTTCATAGGTGAAGCCACTTGACTGAACTCATTAACCAGTACACTGAAGATATGTACATTTCATAATATATAAATTTTAGCCCAAAAGGAAAAAAAAAAGAATCACAAACAAATAGTGAGCTCTAGCTAATGACTATGTTCCAAAGCATCTGGAAGGAAGTATAGAGATGTCAGCAACTTACTCTGGAATGTGTAAAAAAAAAATAAGACAGGTTGAAGATGGATCCGCTTGTGATAGAGCAAATAAGAGTGAAATGTTTGTGGCAGAAAACAGGTGGTGGTTACGTGGGTGTTTCTCAAACAGTTATTTCAAATTTGCTGTGTGACTCAAAATTTTCTCCTCAAATATTGGTGGGGAGGACATTATAAACGATGAGACCTGTTCCTTAAACTTTCCTCAACAGAAGCACAAGTTCATGAAAATGAAAAATCCATGCTTTTAGTACTCACATAACTAATCCGAACTTTAGAGTTAAAATACTAAAGTTCCTAAAAATTGATAATGAAAAAACAACAACAAAAGAACAACAACAAAGAGAGGAGACAGCACTCCTTAAATCAATAATGCCAAATGGATTTTCAGTCTATCTCTCCAACAACAGCTTCTGGGAACACTCTGCTGAGAAGCACATCAAAGCAAGCGGCCCTGGGCTCAGGAAGAAAGGGTGCCAGCAGCTATTGATTTGTGATGTCTGTCTCTGATGTAGGAATAGGGAGATCGGTAGCTCATTTGTCGTCCTTGCCCCAAACTCATCAACTATTTACAATACCTAGAGCCTCTGCCAATCCTTCTGTGTTAACAGATCATTTGTCTTCTTCTTTTTAAGATTTTATTTATTTATTCATGAGAGACACAGAGAGAGAGAGAGGCAAAGACACAGGAAGAGAGAGAAGCAGGCTTCCTACAAGGAGCCCGCCGTGGGACTGGATCCCAGGACCCTGGGATCATGATCTGAGCCAAAGGCAGATGCTCAACCACTGAGCCACCCAGGTGACCCAACAGATCGTTTTTCACAGATAGAACTATTATATACAGTTTATGTACACTTGCAAAGGCAGCTTTCTTTAGACATTCAGGTCTAACTGTGGAAATAAAATTATAAACTCAATGAGTAAGTACTGTCTCCCCAGAAGGGTAATTATTAATCCAAGGGGGGCTACCCAACAACACTCAGCAGACAGGATACCCCCATCCCCTTACCTGGCCAAACACAAAGCAGTACAGCGTCACACCCATGGCCCAAACATCCAAAGCCTGTAAGAAAAAGAGTGCTTCATGTAAGGGAACAAGGGGTAGCGAGGGGGTGTCCGCTGCTTCTGCAAGGGCCAAAAACTAAATCCTCCAGCTTTCCTCTGAGGAGGAAACACTCCTTCTAGCCTCTGGCTCCACCGAGTCAGGTAAAGACTGATCCAGCCCCTGGCCTCTAGGTGAGCACAAGACCCAGGTCTGGCCAATAAATAAGAGCTTCATTTCCACTAGCCATAGTGATTGGCTTAAGGACAGGCACATGACCCAGGCTGGACCAATCAGAGCCAATACCCGAGATTGTGACAAGGGCTCTTCAAAAAGAGGAATGCTCTTTTCTACAGAGATGGATAAGCTGAGAGGAAGTACCCTGGAGCTGCTGGCAACCCATCCCCCTGGGTAGGAAATCAGTTCAAGAAAACAGCTGAGAGATGGAGTCCTGTTGAATCCCTGTCTCTAGCCAAGCTGGAAGGCGTTCTTCATCTACAAGGTCCAGTAGATGCATTGTTTAAGCCAGTTTGAGCTGGATTTCTGCCACTTAAACCAGAAGGGTGCCGACACAGGCTGAACACCACATCCCAGGGAGGTCCACACACACCTACCTTCCCAGAGAAAATCTTCCGTGTCTCCGAGAGCGACTCGGGTGCCATGAAGGCAGGTGTGCCCACGGTGTTAGAAAGAAGGGCATCGCTGCCCTTGAACTCATTGCTCACACCAAAGTCGGCAATCTTGATGTGTCCATCTTCTCCCACCAGCAGGTTGGAAGGTTTGATGTCCCGGTGGATGATCTTCTGGTAGTGGACTGGGGGGGGGATAGGGAGGGGGGTGGACACCAGATGGGGGAGGAGGCAGGAAAGTCACATGAGGAGCTCTGCATAGCCCATAGAGCTATGGACCTCTCTGCTCTCTCACGCCCCAGGGCCCTTCCAGCTTCACTCTCCCCAGCCTGCTGGAGACCTCCCCAGCTTTGAAAGATAGGGGGGAAAGCATGTCTTTAAAGAAGTTACCCTATCTTCAAAAATGAGTGAAACACTGACTGCCAATTATAGTTAGTAACCATCCGACCTAGTCTAAGTTGTGAGTGATGATGGTCCCTGGAGAGTTTTTATTGAGCCCAGCTGGCTTCCAGCTAGAAGCCTCAACTTGTGACAGTCAAACCTATTTTCATTTACTAATGCCAACAGTCAACCCGTTCATCATAGCAACAATGACTGGAGCAGGTCAAATGGGAAGCATGGACTACAGAGTAAGACTGGGAACTTAACTTGTTCCTGCCTGGATGTCAACCCATGGGAGAGGACAGCCCTATGGCCTGGAAGACCCAACTGAATTTCTTTGCCAGTGGTGGTGGTGATGATGATGATGATGATGATGATACCAGTAATAGGGGGAGCAGTCCTGTTTGTTGAGTGCCCAGACTGGGGCCTGAGCCTGTGTTAAGTGCTTCCCATTTCCCCCATTTCTTTTTTTTTTTTTTTCCATTTCCCCCATTTCAATCTCACAACAATCCTTTGTGATAGGCAAGGGAAGAGACAAAATGTTTAATGATCAGAAACAGAAAGGACACCTGTCAATGAGAACTACTGATATGTACTGACTGATTTAGACTCTGGTGAGAGACACTTTATTTCCATTTTACAGATGAGAAATCTAAGGTTCCAAGAGGTTAATAAGATCTCCATCCCAAGGTTGCTGGGAATAAGAGACAATGCAAATATAGCCCGTAACAGTGCCAGTGCATACATAGGGTGCTGAGGAAAAGTCACTATCAATATTGCTCTTAATTTTTGTGGCAGAAAGGGTTTCTGCTCATCAGGAACATGGCTTTCTGCAGCTATCCAAGACTGCATCTCAGACAATTCTGTTTCCCCCCCACTTGCCTGCACTCCAGGAGGTAAATTCCACTTTCCCACTTGGCCATGCACTAGGTGGGATGCTAACCACCCCTGGGGGAGAGTCCTTCTGCAGCACTCCCCTCCCCCCCCCACTTACGGTACTCTATGCCTTTTATCAGGTCCTGGAAGTAGAAACGGGCCTGGTCTTCAGAGAGTGGTTTGAGAGTGGGCACTTCCATCACCGGCCTGAAAGGTCGACACATGCATGAAAAGCAAAGCAGACACACTGGCCTTCACCCTCTCTCACCAGCAGAACCAAGCACCACCTTGAGAAGCTCTGCAGCTCGAGAAGCTTCAGGCATCACAGCCGCCAGGGGTGGGGACACTCACCCTTGGTTGACCAGCTCAAACACTGCAGAGAAGAGAAGAGGGGAGCTATTATATTAGGAAATTGGCAAACCATCTCCCTCCTCCTCCTCCTTCCCAATGGCCCACAGAAACCCAAAAAAACATGGAAACTAGCACTGGGGCTGGGGAAAGGAACAATCCACTGTGCCAAAGCCTCCACTCAAGGCCCTGCTCAGGAGACGAGGGGTCAGAGGCTTCTGATCTCCCTGGGACCCCAGTCTGGCTGTACTTCTAGTCCTTGAAACTGCCCAGGAACCCCTGGCCAGGGAAAACAAAGCAGGGAGACAGGAGACAGGCAGGGATGGCTCATGGGTTCCTTTCTTCTCTCTACTCATACCTTAGAGATTCCAGGTATCTGACTGATACTAAACTATATCCTCTTAGTCACACCCAGATCCTCAGCTACCTTATGGCAAAGAACAGTTCTAAGGAGGGCAGCCCGGGTGGCCCAGTGGTTGAGCGTCTGCTTTTGGCTCAGGGCGTGATCCCGGAGTCCTGGGATCGAATCCCACATTGGGCTCCCTGCATGGAGCCTGCTTCTCCCTCTGCCTGTGTCTCTGCCTCTCTGTCTCTGTGTCTCTCAAGAATAAATAAATAAAAAATTTTTAAAAAAGAACAGGTCTAAGGAGACACAACCCAACATCGGTCTACTTAGGTGCAAAGAAGTAGGCCTAGGAGTCTTTAGATTCAAGAAATAGGAACATGTTTCAACGATCCCTCCCGCATCCTCCACACTGCCAGCTATGCCAGGCCACAGACCAAGAATGCGTGTAGATTCTTCAAACTCCTCAACGCTCTGTGGTCAGCTGGCCCTCAGACTCTTTACCTGTGACTCTCAATCCAAAACAAGACTTGGAGCAAGAGGTGGGGGTGGTGATTTCCTCACCACTTCAAAGGCCAACTCAGCCCACTGCTCCTAAACAGGGCCTTTCTTGACTCAGGTTCACGCACGACATGCAAATGCCTCCCACCATGCCAGCTTCTTCCTGGACCTGTATACATGGGGAACCCCTGCTCCAAGCCACCAAGTGTTAGATAAGCTGTGTTCAGGGAATGCACAGAGTTTTGTTGTTGTTGCTGGGGGATTTTTGTTTTGTTTTGTGCATTTTTAAAAATTGAAGTGAAATTTTCATAATATAAAATTAACTATTTCAAAATTTACAATTCATTGGCATTCAGTATTCACAATGTTGTATGACTTTTGCCTCTACCTAGTTCCAGAAAATTTGCACTCCCTCTGAAAGAAACCCCATGCCCATTCAGTCAGGCCCCTCCCTCCAGGCCTTGGCAACACTAATCTGATTTCTGTTTCTATGGATTTGGCCATTCTGGACATTTCATATACACAGAATCATACACTATGTGACCTTTTGTGACTGGCTGTTTCACTTATTAGCACCATATTTTAAAGGCTCATTTGTGTTGTAGCAGGAATCAGTACTTCATTCCTTTTTATGGCTGCATACTGTTCCATTGTGTGGATATGCCACATGTTGTATATCCAATCATTAGCTCATGAACATTTGGGTCGTTTCCACATTTTGGCTATTGTGAATAGTGCTGCTATGAATATTCCCATTGATGTATCTGTTTTTAGTTTGGGGGAGTATATACCTAAGAGTAGAAATATGGGGTCATGTTGCATACTTATTTTAATTTTATCCTGTTTGGATAAACATAATAGGAACATGAAGCTATCTAGGAAGTGAAAAATGCACACAATGAATTTCAAAATCAAGTGAAGAGTAACTCTGGAGCTGTCTGTTCTAGAATTATCTACTCACATTGGAATTTCTTACAGAAGAAACTAAAAGGTTGTTTCAAAGATCTCCAACGGCTAAGGTGGCTGAGGGACAAGAGTTGGCTCTTCAGATAAGAAGGCTTAAAGGTTCTGACCAGAAAAGGAACTTAACTGTCTCGGGCCCCTCCCTGCCTACAGTGTTGGGTAAGCCCAAGTTAGGGCAGATCTGCCTTGGCTTCAGGCTGTGGTTAGAAGCAAAAAGTAATGACACTAAAGGGAAGGTTTCCATAGACAGGCAAGCTAGCCCCTTCAGCTCTGGCCTATCCTACCTTCATTCTGGAAGTCTTAACTTTCAAGAACTGCTTCACAAATTTATGTGCTTCCTCCCCAGCACAGTAACTTTGTTGGTATGGAGGAAGCTAGCCTGTGAAAACAGGTCTCTTTTCAGCCACTAATAGTTTAACCCCCTCCTGGGGCTGAGAGGTGGGTGGGAAGTTTTTAGCCTCAAGAAGTACTGTGTGTTCTGTGCTCTTTGAGGGTCAGGCCTGTATTTGTAGCTGATACCTACTACCCAGCCTCATACACTACCCTGTCTGTCCTTGACACATCTGGGATTGGAAACTAAAATACAACCCTGTCGGGATTTTCAAAACCACTCAAATCACGTATCAGAAGTCAGGCTGGCTCCCTTCTACACCGCTGCCTCAAAAAAAGAAAAACTCTGTCCATGAAGTTGCTGATTCAAATGGCTTAAGAAACCCCTCTTTCAAGCTTGGGCAGGTTCTTTTCATACTCATCCAACTCCTCTCAGTGGCTCCCTTCTTGCTCTAAAAGGCAAAGTCTTACAATGGTGTGACATGTCCTCTGCCATCTGGTCCCCACTGTCCTGAACAAATGTCACCTCACTGAGGCATCTCAAGGAGCGGCTCTATTTCCCAATCCTCCAAACTGGAACCGTCTGGTTCCCCTGACCCTGCTCAGATTTGTTTTTTTTCCATGGTGTTGTTACTTTGGAAGGCTAAGCATAATACTTAAGTACTGAGGGTATCTGTCTGTCCTTATTGGAGGGAGAAAGTGCCCTGAGGGCAGGGTCTTCTTTTTTGTTTCCAAATAAACCTAGAACAGGGCCTGACAAACTATAATGTTTGTTGAAAGAACAACCAGGCACCTCAGAAATAACCCAGAACCATGCAGAGTCAGGTTAGGAGCCCCAAATAAGCAAGTTATGCTGGGAATGCCATTCTGGGACTAAATTCTTTTACATTTTATGATTTCTGCTGTAGTTCCTTCAAACTTCACTCATTTGCCTACTATGTTTATGAGCTGGCTATATCTATATACCACATAAACTATTATTTATTTCATATTTTTCTTTAAATTGACTCAGTTTTAAAATTTTTAGCCTTGGGATCCCTGGGTGGCGCAGCGGTTTGGCGCCTGCCTTTGGCCCAGGGCACGATCCTGGAGACCCAGGATCGAATCCCACATCGGGCTCCCGGTGCATGGAGCCTGCTTCTCCCTCTGCCTGTGTCTCTGCCTCTCTCTCTCTCTGTGTGTGACTATCATAAATAAATAAATATAAAAAATAAAAATAAAATAAAATTTTTAGCCTTATCCTAGGTAATGACATCCATGAAATCATGAGTTTAGTGAGCTGCTTTAGGTTTTCCTGTATAATGATAAATTAATTCTAAAAAAAATTTTTAGGGACACCTGGGTGGCTCAGTGATTGAGCATCTGCCTTCAGCCCAGGGCGTGATCCTGGAGTCCCGAGATCAAGTCCCACATCAAGGCTCCCTGCATGGAGCCTGCTTCTCCTTCTGCCTATGTCTCTGCCTCTGTCTCTCTGTGTCTCTCACAAACAAAATCTTTAAAAAAAATAAAAATAAAACAATAAAATTTTTAAATGTCTATCCATGTACCCCCCTAAAATCATCTCATATATTTAAAGTGGCAATGATACCACATTTTGAGAAATATTGCAAGTCTGTGCTGTTCACATTTTTTATAATGTTTCTTTCTCAAAAAAAATGTTTCTTTCTCACATAACTTTTTTAAAGTTAAAGTTTTTTAAAGTTAAACACGTCCTATGTTATTTACTGTGTAGCTTCTAAATTGTTCCTATAGGAAGATTTTATAAGTTCTAAAATTTACAAACAAAAAATAAAAAAATAAGAGTTCTAAAATTTGAATATGGACTGCACCCTAGATGCTCTTAAGGAACTGGCATTGACTTTTTCAGATGTAATAACAGTATTGTGACCATACAGGAGAAGGTCCCTACGTGAGATACACACTGAAGTATTCAGGGGCTGAAGCATGAAGATGTCTGCTACTTTTTAAATTTTGGATAGTTCAGCAAAAAAAAATACAGAAATGGATGGGTGGGTGGCTAGACTGATAAAGTAAATCTGACAAAAAATTATTAACTGTTGAATCTGGTTGGTAAGTATACAGGTATTCATTGTACTACTCTTTCATCTTTTCTGTAGGCTTAACATTTTTCATAATAAAAACCTGGGGCAGGGATGCCTGGGTGGCTCAGCAGTTGAGCACCTGCCTTTGACTCAGGTCATGATCCCAGAGTCCTGGGATCGAGTCCCACATCGGGCTCCCCACATGGAGCCTTCTTCTCCCTCTGCCTGTATCTCTGTATCTCTGCGTCTCTCTCTGTGTGTTTCTCATGAATAAATAAATAAAATTTAAAAAAAACCTGGGGCAGGGAAGAGAAGGAGATAATGAAAAACAAAATGTCCTTAGCTACCTTCCTTGGAACTGAAACAAAGCAATGACGTAAGGAGAAAGTGAGCTCTGAGCTGTTTTCAAACCAGACCCATTCAAACCAGACCCCAGATAATCAATCACTCTCCTTGTGCAACAAAGGATGGTCCCCATGCTCATCCAGAAGACTTGTAGTGCCCACCCCCCTCACCTCCTTGATACCCCTCCTGGCTGTCGTCTGTACCCACTCGAAATGCACAGGCTCATTTGAATGTCCACCCAAGCCATATTGCAAGGGCACATTACCTATCAATCACACATTCCTGAGCCCCACAGTCTGCTATCCAGTTTTGAATTAGTCTTGCCCTTCCTTCCTTCATCGTACCTATGCTCAGAGCTGATGGAGGACTGACCTATGTCCTCACCAGTTTTTAAAAATCAAGTCTCCGAGGACACGCCTGAGTCCTTCCATTTCTTTGTGCAGTGCCTTCCAAGACTCCAAATGCCCCACCATGACCTAAGGCTCTCCATCCTCATCCCCATCCCCTCTTTCCGTGGTTTACTCTGTCCCAGTCATGTTTTTCTCAATCACGTTAAGCTCTCACCAGCCTTTGCACTTGCAATTCCCTTTGCCCGGAATGCTCTTCCCCATTTGTAACAGGGCTGTGTCTCACGTGAAGTGGCCCCTCAATCCCTCTCTCAGGTCATCCTATTTAACCTTCAGAGGCTCCATCTGAACTTACCTGGTTTATTTAGCTGTTGACTATCTGACTTCCATGATTAGAATATCAGCTTCACAAGAGCAGGAGCCTCATCTTTCTCACTCACCAATGCATCCTTAGTGCCCAGCATGAGCAGGCGCTAAATTAATATTTGCAAATGAATGAATAGGACCTCCAGATATAGTCCCAGCAAGCACTCCCTTCCACCTCCTGCTTCCAACCAGGGCTGCAACCTCACACGTGGCTCACTGTGGGACCAGCTCTGGCAGGAAAGGGGAAGCTGTCTGTCCTTGGTGAGAGATGGTAGGGACAGGGGATGCTCAAGAGGACCCCTGGGCTTTGGCAGGTGCAGCTGCCTGAGCTAGGGTGGCGGATGGCAAGGGCTCTCTTACCCATGTACAGATGGTCCTCATTGGGGTCATCCAGGACCTATTGGCACAGCCACATGGAACAGGCCGGAGATGAGGAGCAGGGGAGAGGAAGAGAGAAAAATGATATGAGCAGGGAGGAAGCAGCATCCATATGACTGCATTTGCCACAGGAGGGCTGTGCTTTCCACTGGCTTTCTGGTTAAGATGAAGGTACAGGAAAAAACTCAGGGTGTGTGATCCAAGTGGCCATCTGGAAAATAGGCACTTTTTAGCCCAATCCTGAAGAGTCTAAAACACCTAGAAAAGAGGTTACAAAACGGAGGGGCAAATTCCTCCCCTGGAAAATGGGGGGACCTGGTTGGTTCAGTCAGTAGAGCAAGCAACTCCTGACCTCAGGGTCATGAGTTTGGGCCTCATGTTGAGAACAGAAATTATTTTAAAAAGGGACGCCTGGGTGGCTCAGCAGTTGAGCATCTGCCTTTGGCTCAGGGCATGATCCCAGAGTCCTGGGATCGAATCCTACATCGGGCTCCCTGTATGGAGCCTGCTTCTCCCTCTGCCTGTGTCTCTGCCTCTCTCTGTGTGTCTCTGTCTCTCAGAAATAAACAAATCTTAAAAAAAAAAGAAAAAAAGAAAAATTACTTAAAAACAATTTTTTTTTAATTCCTCCCCTGGGAAATGTCTCAGCTTCAATAAAAACCCCACCTGTCTCCTAGGGAGACAACGTGATCCTCAGGGCAAAAATTCAAATCCTGTCTGGGCTCTTCCGACTCCTCAATGAAGTGCCCCCCTGACCTCCTGCCCTTGCAAGAAAAGAAGTCTCCCTGCCTGGAACTGCCACAGCATGTTCCTGCTCTCCTTTCAAGGCCATCCCGCTTTCATCTTGTCACTTCTTTCTATCTTTCCCCCTCCACATGTCAGCCTGTAAGGACAAGGCCCATAGTAGGTGGTCAGGGAATGTTTGATGAACGTCTATGTCCATCTGGCGAACGTCTGATATTTGTCCAACAGGCAGGCTGGCAAACAGTCTTGTTAGGTAGACAGGTCAGATGCCACAGGGCAGTGGAGACAAGAGAGATCCCACCAGGACCCAGATCCACTTGATACACTTGATAATCCAGTGTCCTTGAGCTTCCTCCAAGACGGCTGACTCCAACAGCAGCAAATTGAAACTGTGTAATTCAGTGACAGGTGGAGACAGCTGGCAGCCACTGTCTCTCTCCTTCGGGAAGAAACAAAGGCAGGCTCCTTGCCTAGACAGGTCCTCCTGCCTCTTCCCACATCACCCTCACTTTTCCCAGTCAACCAAGATCCACAGGACAAGAGTCCTGAGAAAGAGATGCACCCTACACGGAGGCCCAAGGCAACCCACCTAGAGCCCTGAGCCCTGCCCTGTTGGGGGAATCAGACCCAGGACATGGCCTATCTACAGCCAACACCTAGCAAGCCCCAGGAAGGCATGGCTGCTAACCATCACACTCACTAAAGGCAGGGATGTACCCCCAAACAGAGGACACCAGCCCTTTGCACATGCTGTTCCTTCCTCTGCAATGCCCTTCCCTGTCCTTTCCCTATGATCTCCATCCAGAGAACAACCAGGGCCATCTCAAATATCCTTTCCCCTAAGAAGCCTTCCTTGCGCTCCATGCTCCTGCAGCACTGCCAATGCATGTCCAATTCTGCACTTTATCACATCCCATTTACAAGTCCTGTCATCTAGACCAGAGGTGCTCCAAATAGGTTTGGGGACTTCTAGGGATCCCCAAGATGCTTTCGGGGAGTTCACGAAGTCAAAAATGATTTTCACACAAAAACTAAGATAATATCTGCCCTTTCTACTCTCATACTCTATTAATAGAGCAATGAGAAACCACATGGCATGAGGAGTCATAACAGGCTGAATGAAAGAGCAGATACGAGGGATCCCTGGATGGCGCAGCAGTTTAGCGCCTGCCTTTGGCCCAGGGCGCGATCCTGGAGACCCGGGATCGAATCCCACGTCAGGCTCCCAGTGCATGGAGCCTGCTTCTCCCTCTGCCTGTGTTTCTGCCTCTCTCTCTCTCTGTGACTATCATAAATAAATTTAAAAAGAAAAAAGAAAAAGAAAGAGCAGATATGAGAATCCAGCCAGACATTAGCAACAACAAAAATTTACAAAAATCTGGGGCAGCCCGGGTGGCTCAGCGGTTTAGTGCCGCCTTCAGCACAGGGCATGATCCTGGAAACCCAGGATCAAGTCCCACATTGGGCTCCCTGCATGGAGCCTGCTTTTCCCTCTGCCTGTGTCTCTACCTCTCTGTGTGTGTGTGTCTCTCATGAATAAATAAATACAATCTTAAAAAAACAATTACAAAAATTTTTACCTAAAATGCTAGGGTGCCTGGGTGGCACAGTTGGTTAAGCATCCAACCCTTAGTTTCAGCTCAGGGAGCAATCTCAAGATCCGGGATCGAGCCCAACACTGGGCTCCACACTCAGCACAGAGTCTGCTTGGGACTGTCTCTCCCTCTTCCTCTGCTCCTCCCCACCACACTCCCTCTCTTTCTCACCATCTCTCTGTAAAATAAATAATCTTAAAAAAATGTAAATGCCACTCTTCTTATATTTTTTTCAGATAATAGAGTTATTTTTCATAAAAATATATTGTCATATAATGGGACTGTTGTTTTTAAATGAATAAACAATTTTTAAATTTCTCAGTTTTAAATCTTAATATGGCAAATAATAAACACAACCCACATAAGCAAAAGCTTTTTGGAGTCTTCAATAATTTTGAAGGGCATAAAGGAATTTTGAGACCAAAAACTGTGAGACCTGCTGATCTAGAACAGGAAATGGCAAGTATAGCATAAAAGCCAAATCTGGCCTTCTGCCTGTTTTTTGTAAATAAAGTTTTATTGGAACACAGCCACACCCATTTGTGTGTGTGTATGTGTATATATGTATACACATACACACACACACACACACACACACACACATACATACAAAAGCTCCAAAAACAAAAATGGATAAAGGACAAGTCTCGGTATCCCCCTTCCCCTCAATTTCTCTATCTGTAAAATGGGACTAATAAATAGTCTTAGAGAAGGGTGAGGATAACATGAAAGAACAGGGGTGAAGGAATGTGGAGCAGTAACTACTAGTCAGCCCTGCAACAGCTGTTAAAACTGTCATGGCTCTCCCTAGAAACCAGTGGTGCGGCGTTTGGGTAACAACAGAGCTGGGCCTGGACAGTTACCATTCTTGCCTCCCTCCTCCCTGTCCCCACAGCTCACCTCCACCAGCTTCACCACATTGGGATGGTCTAGCTTCTTGAGGATGGCGATTTCCTGGTACACCTGCTCAATGGGGCCCCTAGGCTGGATGCAGCCTCCAGGAGCCAGCCGGGTGCCTCGGGGCGGGGGACGACCTGGAGGAGACAAGCCCATCCCAGTATCAGGGCAAACAGCTCTTCCCCTGCAAATGGCAGCTGGAGTTGGGACAACCCAAGCAAGGGGGTCTCGGCAGGGCTGGAGTGGCTGAGGCCACCAGGGGCCGTAAGTGGCTCCTCACCTGTCTCCTCTGTTGCTAGAAATGAGTGAGGCTAGAGACTCAAGCCCCTTGATCAGCTTTCTGTCCCCTCCTTCCCACCCCATTCCTCAGGGCATAGTCACAGGAGTCTCTGGGACCTCTACCCAGACACTCCCTGCAGGGGACACCATGCAATGGGATCTTCTCTGTCACATCCCAGCCCAGCACCTAAGAACAAAGGCCTGGCCCACCAAACTCACGTGGAAAGCCCGCCTGTCGGATCAGCTTCTTTTTGGACAGCACTTTCATTGCCTGCCAGGGAGAAAAGACCCCACATCTCGATTAAAATGGAGAGTTTGGTAGAGGGAGAGTTCCCTCTGCTTCTAGGCCTGTCAAAGCTCTTGGCGCCCTGATGGCCTCAGGACTGAGTGCTTCACCATCAGAGTGGGTCAAGCAGCTGCAGGTGGCCTGGAGGCTGGATGCCAGGGTCCCTCCCAGCCCTGAGGGTGTTTCTGAGTTTCCAAGTCAGCTCTCCTGGTTGGGCCCACAAGCTTTGGGACTTGCTACAACTGAATCAAGACACTAGTGAGCTGCAGGGATGGACGAGGGACTGGCTGTTTTACACACGGGCCAAGTGAGGTTCAGGTGTTATGTCACTTGGCCAAGGACACACAGTTGGCAGATGTGAGAGCCAGAATTTGAACCCACGCTGGACTGACTCTAAAGCCTCAGATACAAGGGCAGTTTGTCCCACTACCACCTGGTTCTGGGTGCTATGAAGGATGTAGAAATGATAGCCCAGAGTAAAGATATGAAACACTTGCTGAATTTATCTATTTTCTTTCTGACCCAATCACTTTGCCTCCCCACTTCCCTATCTGTATAAGGGGAACACCACTTCCTTCCTAATACACAAAAGGAAATGACCTAAGAATAAAATGAAACAAGAGCAAAGAAAATCTTCCAGAAAGCCAAGTTCTGGAAAGGAGGCTTTTGCAGTGGACAAGGGTGGGGGCAGGGAGGGGGATGTGGATACTCACATAATAGGTATTGTCATTTTCATTGTAGGCCAACTTGACCACACCATAGGAGCCCTGGATAAAGGGAGACACCCATTACATACTGTCTAGAAGTTACAATCTGCAAAATGAGGACCCTAATACAGGGGCTGCAAACCAGCAGCCAACTGGCCAAATTGGCTCTGCAATTACATTCTGTTGCATCTGCAGTTTTTAGAAAGTTTGAATTAATCGCTAATATTTAAAAACAGAAAGATCAGATATAAAAATCTAAATTCTCAGCTTCTTTTGAAAAAAATCAGAAGATCTGGCCATATGGACCTATAATCATTTCCACATGTTAATAGTTGCCAGTCCTCACCACTCCCTACTGCCTTAGACCTAGCATGCCTTGCTCATTTATATTACTCACTTGCTTTCTATTTTGGCATTTGAGGTTTTGACCCCTGCAAAGATACTGCCCATTGGCTGAAATAAAAGCAAAAATAGATGTGAGAGCACCTTAGAGGGGGAAAAAAAACCCCACTAATGTTGGTGATATGGAATTCCCTCAAAGCTGTCTGAGCTTTTGTGGAAACACATTAATATGCTGTAGAAAGAAAATAAACCAGATGGACCACTAATGACAAAACCCTCCCCCACAATCTTGCCTCCAAGGGCTTCTTCCCACCTCCAGCTCTAGCGGGTTCCCTCCATCATATCTGAGACATTCTCGGTAGATGCAGAAAACCAGTCTGGCTCCTGGGATATTTACCTTTCCAATTTCATCCTTTAGCGTGTACTGATTCAGCTGTACACAATCCTGGAGAGTTAAGTGGAAACACACAGAATATGAATTGTAGGTTTGCAGCTCGATACATTTTTCACAAAACAAACACATGAACTGGGACCCAAATCAGGAAAGAGAATACTGCCAGTCCCCCAGGAGCATCTCCCAGACACTGGGCTCTCTCCACGGTGACCACTATCCTGCCTGCTAACAGAACAGCTTTAGTATATTGTAAAAATGTGATTATACAGTATGTACTCTTTTAATATCCATGTTTAAGAAGTGTTCCCAAAATGTTGATTTTTAATTAAACAAGTAATCCTGTCTAAGGACCATGTTGTCCTATAAAAACATAAAGTAGCATAAGTGGAGAATATCTGAGTGACCATGGGGCAGAGAATGGTTTCTTAATGGTTTCTCAAAGGTTCTTTTCATACAAAAAGTACCAATATAAAAGGAAACAAATGATAAACTGGATTTCATCAAAATTAAAACCTCAGCTCTTTGGGCAGCCCGTGGGGCTCAGTGGTTTAGCGCCGCCTTCAGCCCAGGGCCTGATCCTGGAGACCCAGGATTGAGTCCCAGGCCAGGCTCCCTGCATGGAGCCTGCTTCTCCCTCTGCCTGTGTCTCTGTCTGTCTGTCTGTCTGTCTGTCTTTCTCTCTGTGTGTCTCATGAATAAATAAATAAAATCTTTTAAAAAATAAAATAAAACCTGAGCTCTTTAAAAAAAAAAAAAAAACTTTGGCTCTTTGAGACACTCACTATTAAGGAAACAAAAGGCAAGCCACAGCCTGAGAGAAACTATTTGCAAACACATCAGAATGGCATTCAGACAGATAAAGAACTCCTATAACTTATTACTAACAACATGCTAATTTAAAAATGGGCAAAAGATTTGAAGAGATTTCTCCAAAGAAGAGATACAAATGATCAAATAAGCACATGAAAAGAGGCTCAAAAAAAAAAAAAAAAAAGAGGTTCAACATCATGACTCATCAAGGAAACGTAAACTAAAACCAGACCCATTAGATTGGCTAAAATCCAAGACTGATCATACCAAGTGTTGTCAGAATAATATAGGGCACAGAGAAGCTTTACGCACTACTGGTAGGAATCTAAAATGGTGCACCCTCTTCGGGAAACAGTTGGGTGGTTTCTTAACAAGCACCTCTCTAGGACATAGCCATTCTGCTCCTAGCTGTTCATCCAAGAGGTGTGAAAACTTGTGCCCATGCAAAGACTTGTAGACAAATGTTTGAAACAGTTTCATCTGCAATACTCAAACACTAGAAACAACTCAAATGTCCACTGACAGGTAAATGGATAAACAAACAGTGGTCCATTGCAGACAGTGGAATACTAGTTAGCCATCAAAAGGAAACAGACGACAACATGGACAAATGTCGAAATCATCAGGTCATCAATGAAGCTAAGCTAAAAAAAAAAGAGTACATACTAGATGATTCCACTTACAGAAAGTTCTTGAACTTGCAAACTAATCTATTATACTAAAAAGCAGGTCAGCAGTTACCTGGGAAAGGGGAAGAAGGGGGAGGAATGTGTCATCGGGTGTGCCCAAAAACGTCTGTGATCTTGACTGGGGTGAAAGTTTCACAGATGTATACATTATCAGAACTGATCATATTGTACACCTGAAATATGTGCACTGTTTTACTTCAATTATACCTCAGTGTAATTAGGGAAGAAATGTTAGGTGATAGATGAAATAAAACTGAGAAAAGAAACATGATAGAAAATAACCCTTCGAAGTGTTACAGATAAGCCCAACACTTCCCCTGAACCCCCCCTCCCCAATTCTAACCCTTTGCCCAAACCTTGGTATCAGTTTGGTGCATAAACTTCCAGGCCTTTTTCTATGTAAATGCACGTATACATGCACCTGTTGAAAATACAGAGCATTGTTTTGGGATGGGGTTTGCAGAGGCAAAAATGATGTCACACTAGATCATTTCTCACTCAACAACGTCGCTGGAGACAGTTCCATGTCAGTGTGTACACAGAGACCTGCATCTTTTGACCTGCTGTATAGCACTCCTCGGCTCACAAAGCCCTCTCTTCACCAGGGGACATTTTAGGATACTTCCACTGTTTCTTTCCAGTGTTGATTTCATTCCCTTTAGTCCTAGAAGGATGTGACAGGCAGAAGTGGGGCCCTGCAGAGCTGACCTAAGAGGTCTCGCTGCCCCTAATCCAAGCCCCAAATGTTGCTGAATTCATCTTCCAGATTCTACTCTAATCCTATTAGCCCCTGACACTTCCAGGGTCAAGTCCTGACTCCACTCCTCTGACCTTGGCAGAGTCGCCTAGTTGTCCACCAAATACCAGGCTCTCCTTCCTTCCTTATAAATGGAGAACTGGATGGCAACGACTGCATTTCCCAGCCTTTCTTATAGCCAGGGGTGGCCACATGTCTATGTTCTGGCTAGTAGGAGGTAGACAGAAGTTGTTGGGTAGAGTTTCCAGAAAAAAGGACTGACTTAGGAGGCAGATGACTTTTGCTCTTCTTCCCTGCTCCTTCTTCCTGTCTGGAATGAAATTGTAATGGCTATAGTCACAGCAGCCATCTTGAGACCATGAGGTTTTAAGGACAACAAAAGAACCAAATGGGTCCCAAATGCTGACTTCAAGATTTATTTTACATGATAAATAAGCCCTATTTTTGTTGTGGTGAAGGGGCTGTGTGTCTCTATTTCTCTAGGCTGACTCAATTCTAACTGAAATAAACCTAAATTCTCCCTCTAGCTCTGTTGCTGTGGTGCTCCCCACGTGGGCCCTATTCTTTAACTAGCTGAACCCCAGATTGCCCTTTCCCCCCACATCCTGCCTTTTACCTCTGGGCCTTTACTCATGCTGTGCATTCCCCTGCACTGAACTCTCTCCAGTTATGAAAGTCCTACCTAGCCCTCAAAAATATAGTTATATTATCAGCCTCTCTAGAAAGCCATTCTCTATGTCCATGCTTCTCCCAATTAAATTCATTCCTTCAACAAATATTTTTGTGCTCCTACTATGTGCAAGGTACTGTGCAAGACGCTGGGGACATGATGGTGGACAGAACTGTTCCTTCTGAGCTTACGTTCTAGCTGGGGAGACAAGCCAAAACCAACAGACACACATCTGTGATGAGTGCTGTGTCAACGGGGTGACAGAGTAGAGATGGGCTGGGGCCGAGGCTGCTTACAGAGGATGGTCAGAGAGGCTCTTCAGAGGAGGAGACATTTGAGTTGAAACTCGGCTGTCAGAAGAAGACAGCCCTGCAACGACAGGGAGAGATTCCAAGCAGAGAGGACAGCAGCAGGGGTGAAGGTAATGGAGGGACTGGGGGTGGGTATCTGAGGAATACAAAGAAGGCAACGTGGATGGAGCCCTAGGAGTCGGTGGCAGAAAGGCAGGAGATGGGACAAGGGCAGAACACGCAGGGCCTTGGTGAGCCCTAGTGGGGCTTGGAGTTCTAACCCACCTCTCAGAAGTTTTCAGTAGGAATCAAATGAGAAATATGCATACAGTGCTGAGAGCAGGGCCTGGCACCCTGCGGGAAGGCCTCTCACCCACCCCTACCCCCAGCACAACTCCTGATCACCAGCACCTGCATCTCTGCCAGAGGCTCTCTGTGGCCCCCGAACTTCCCTGGCCACTCTCAGGGCAGGTCACCCACTCCCAGCAGCCCTCACCAGCTACCCTGGCTCTCAGTCGGGATCACTCTGAGGTACAGAACTTTCTATGCTGTCAAACAGGGTTCCCCAGAGATGGAGCCCGAGTCGCCCACGATGGTAACAGGCTCCATCCTGCCCCCTTTGTTGACCTCCTCTTCCACTCTCACTTCCCACCCCCACCTGGGGCTCCCGGGGTCACCTCTCAAATCCATGTTCTGGGAGAGCCCCGCTCCATAGAGGCCCCGCCGGCCGGGCCAGCTCACACACCTGCATGCCGGTGATGGAGACATGGTGGGACTCCACCGTGGGCCGCCGGGGCAGCCGCGGCGAGGACTGCGGGGAGCCCACAGGCGAGTGGGGCAGGACCGGGTGGACGCAGCGGCCGTTCGCGTCCAGCTGGGACCGCTCCTGCAAGGAGAGCTTGCGACTGCACAGCTGGGGCCGGGCCTGAGACCCGGAGGCAGAGGCGTCGAGGGGCACCTTGCAGCCCTCAGCCTCCAGGGGCCGGTCCCGGCTCAGGCCGCGGTCCACCGCGCAGCCCGGCTCACACTCGGTGACCACGATGAAGGACTCCATGCCCAGGCGGATGCTCAGGGACGAGAGGCCCTGCAGGGCCTCACAGGGCTTCTGGCCTTCACTGCCGCTGCCACCCCCCAGCTCATCCTGGAGGGCGGCCGGGTCGCTGCTGGGCTGGCTAGAGACGCATGATGACATGGTGCGTGGGCCCGGGCACTCCCATCCGGCAGCAGCGAGCGCCACCTGCGGAGAGAGGAAGGGTCAGCCGCTCCCTGCCCGCTCCCTGCCCGCTCCCTGCCCGCTCCCTGCCCCGCTCCCTGCCCGCTCCCTGCCCCGCTCCCTGCCCCGCTCCCTGCCCGCTCCCTGCCCGCTCCCTGCCCCGCTCCCTGCCCCGCTCCCTGCCCGCTCCCTGCCCCGCTCCCTGCCCCGCTCCCTGCCCGCTCCCTGCCCGCTCCCTGCCCCGCTCCCTGCCCGGCTCCCTGCCCGCTCCCTGCCCCTCTCCTCCGACCCGCCTCCAGCCGACATCCTCAAAATATCTGGCCAAACTTGATGGGACAGGATCTTAAGTCTATACAGAACATACTCCATATTTCCTTAATTGAAAAGCCCCTCCTCGGGAACTTTCCTCGATATCTTAAAAGCCATCTACGAAAAGCCCACAGCAAATATCATTCTCAACGGGGAAGCACTGGGAGCCTTTCCCCTAAGATCAGGAACCAGACAGGGATGTCCACTCTCACCACTGCTATTCAACATAGTATTGGAAGTCCTAGCCTCAGCAATCAGACAACAAAAAGACATTAAAGGCATTCAAATTGGCAAAGAAGAAGTCAAACTCTCCCTCTTCGCCGATGACATGATACTCTACATAGAAAACCCAAAAGCCTCCACCCCAAGATTGCTAGAACTCATACAGCAATTTGGTAGCGTGGCAGGATACAAAATCAATGCCCAGAAATCAATGGCATTCCTATACACTAACAATGAGACTGAAGAAAGAGAAATTAAGGAGTCAATCCCATTTACAATTGCACCCAAAAGCATAAGATACCTAGGAATAAACCTAACCAAAGAGGTAAAGGATCTATACCCTAAAAACTATAGAACACTTCTGAAAGAAATTGAGGAAGACACAAAGAGATGGAAAAATATTCCATGCTCATGGATTGGCAGAATTAATATTGTGAAAATGTCAATGCTACCCAGGGCAATTTACACGTTCAATGCAATCCCTATCAAAATACCATGGACTTTTTTCAGAGACTTAGAACAAATTATTTTAAGATTTGTGTGGAATCAGAAAAGACCCCGAATAGCCAGGGGAATTTTAAAAAAGAAAACCATAGCTGGGGGCATCACAATGCCAGATTTCAGGTTGTACTACAAAGCTGTGGTCATCAAGACAGTGTGGTACTGGCACAAAAACAGACACATAGACCAATGGAACAGAATAGAGAATCCAGAAATGGACCCTGAACTTTATGGTCAACTAATATTCGACAAAGGAGGAAAGACGATCCACTGGAAGAAAGACAGTCTCTTCAATAAATGGTGCTGGGAAAATTGGACATCCACATGCAGAAGAATGAAACTAGACCACTCTCTTGCACCATACACAAAGATAAACTCAAAATGGATGAAAGATTTAAATGTGAGACAAGACTCCATCAAAATCCTAGAGGAGAACACAGGCAACACCCTTTTTGAACTTGGCCACAGTAACTTCTTGCAAGATACATCCACGAAAACAAAAGAAACAAAAGCAAAAATGAACTATTGGGACTTCATCAAGATAAGAAGCTTTTGCACAGCAAAGGATACAGTCAACAAAACTCAAAGACAACCTACAGAATGGGAGAAGATATTTGCAAATAACATATCAGATAAAGGGCTAGTTTCCAAAATCTATAAAGAACTTATTAAACTCAACACCAAAGAAACAAACAATCCAATCATGAAATGGGCAAAAGACATGAAGAGAAATCTCACAGAGGAAGACATAGACATGGCCAACAGGCACATGAGGAAATGCTCTGCATCACTTGCCATCAGGGAAATACAAATCAAAACCACAATGAGATACCACCTCACACCAGTGAGAATGGGGAAAATTAACAAGGCAGGAAACAACAAATGTTGGAGAGGATGCGGAGAAAAGGGAACCCTCTTACACTGTTGGTGGGAATGTGAACTGGTGCAGCCACTCTGGAAAACTGTGTGGAGGTTCCTCAAAGAGTTAAAAATAGACCTGCCCTACGACCCAGCAATTGCACTGTTAGGGATTTACCCCGAAGATTCAGATGCAATGAAACGCCGGGGCACCTGCACCCCGATGTTTCTAGCAGCCATGTCCACAATAGCCAAACTGTGGAAGGAGCCTCGGTGCCCATCGAAAGATGAATGGATAAAGAAGATGTGGTTTATGTATACAATGGAATATTACTCAGCCATTAGAAACAACAAATACCCACCATTTGCTTCAACGTGGATGGAACTGGAGGGTATTATGCTGAGTGAAGTAAGTCAATCGGAGAAGGACAAACAGTGTATGTTCTCACTCATTTGGGGAATATGAATAATAGTGAAGGGGAATATAAGGGAAGGGAGAAGAAATGTGTGGGAGATATCAGAAAGGGACACAGAACATAAAGACTTCTAACTCTGGGAAATGAACTAGGGGTGGTGGAAGGGGAGGAGGGCGGGGGGTGGGGGTGAATGGGTGACGGGCACGGAGGGGGACACTTGACGGGATGAGCACTGGGTGTTATTCTGTATGTTGGTAAATTGAACACCAATAAAAATTAATTTATAAAAAAAAAAAAAAGAAAAGAAAAGAAAAGCCCCTCCTCACGTACAGAGGAATTCCAAACTCAATCTGGGTAGGAACCAAGGATGAGAAAACCCCAAAATAGAGTACGCCTGCCCCCTACAGAGGTGGCAGCTACTTTCAGCTCAAGCCAATTGCTGCTAAAATGGGATTTGGGGGAGCCTGGGTGGCTCAGCGGTTGAGCCTCTGCCTTTGGCTCTGGCGTGATCCTGGAGTCCTGGGATGGAGTCCCACGTCGGGCTCCCTGCATGGAGCCTGCTTCTCCCTCTGCCTGTGTATCTGTTTCTCTCTTTCTGTGTTTCTCATGGATGGGTGAATAAAATCTTTTTTAAAAATTAAAAATAAAAAATAAAATAAATAAATAAAATGGGGTTTGGGACTTCAATTGCCTGTCCTCCCCCACCAGCCCCCACCACCGCCTTTTTAACATATTTATTTTTAAGAGTTTATTTATTTATTCACGAGAGACACAGAGAGGCAGAGACATAGAGGGAGAAGCAGGCTCCCCGCAGGGAGCCTGATGCAGGACTCCATCCCAGGACCCCAGGATCACAACCTGAGCAAAGGGCAGATAGATGCTCAGCCACTGAGCCATCAAGGGGCCCCACATACTTATTATTTAATGTTTTCCTAATTCAGCACCCTAATTGGTGCCTGCCAGGCATAAGGCAAACATGAAGTCAAAAGGTTGACATTGGGGCACCTAGCTGGCTCAGAGGGTAGAGCATGCAATTCTTGATCTCAAGGTCACCAGTTCAAGCCCCACAAAACATATTTAAAAAAAAGAAGTTGACATCAAATAGCTTAGCAGTTCCTCAAAAAACTTAAACAAAGAATGACCACATGACCCAGCAATTCTGTTTCTAGGTATGTACCCCAATAGCACTATTCTGGGTAGCCCAAAGGAAAAACAATCTACATATATCCATCAACGGATGAATGGATAAACAGAATGTGGTCTAACCACACAATGAAATATTATTCAGCCCTTAAAGGAATGATGTACACCTGCTACAATCTGGGTGAACCTCAAAAACATCATGCTAAGTGAAGGAAGCCAGACCCCAAAGGTCACGTATGTATAATTCTCTTTATTTGAAATTTCTAGAGCAGGCAAATCCATAGAAACAGAGAGTAGATTAGTAATTGCCTAGGACTGAGGAGGTGTTGGGGAGAATGGGAGTAACTGCTAATGGGTACAGGGTCTCCTGGGGTGATGAACATGTTCTGGAATTAAACAGAGGTGGTGACTGCACAAAATTCTCAACGTACTAAGTGCCACTGAAGTGTTCACTTTTAAATGAACTTAAAATGTGAATTTAAAAAAAAAAAGGTTGATGCTGTCTTAGACTGTCAATTCCTTCTGTCTCTAGGACAGATTATTAACCTTTGCTTCATGTATTTGACAAATTCTTCTGGACAAATGTCACAGGTGCCAGTAGGATTCAGAGAGTACATCCACGGATGCCAATGGTGGCAGCTCCATACTGATCACCCACATCACAATGTTACCAGGCAAACAGGGGTGTGGAGTAGAGAGATTTCATGAATGAATAAAAGGGTATCTCTTGAGGACACTGTGTGGCAGTGAGGGGATAGAGAGGAAGGTGCAGATGGGAATAGAAAGCCGGTGGTTCCTGGAGGACTTGGATGAGAGGCAGAGAAACGCCACTTGCCTTTTAGGGATAGTCCTGTAAGAAGTATTTATGAAACAGCTTCTGTGTCCGGCAATCTGGACGGTAAGGTAGGTGGATGGGATGAGAAAAGCATTAGCAAAATCACTGCAGCGTCCTAGCTTGGACACAGGCACAATTTATGAACACAGAGGTCACGGTAAAAGAGCAACAAAGAAACCCATCACGTGATAAGATGCTTAGCCTTAGTTATAGGAAGAGAAGTGCAAATTTAAACTACAATGAAACGGTCTAGTTAACTACACTCAACAAGTTAACTGTACAATTACCATATGATCCAGCAATTCTTCTCTCAGGTATATACCTGAAAGAATTGAGAGTAGGAATCCAAACAGATACATACACACTCTTGCTCCTGTCAGTACTATGCACAGTCAAAAGGTAGAAATAACCCAAGTGTCCATCAACTGTGGATGGATAAACAGAATGTGTTCTATTCATACAAGAGAATATTATTCGGCCATAAAAAAGAATAAAGTTCTGACACATGCTACACCATGGATGAACTCAGAAAACATGCTAAGTCAAACAAGCCAAATATTAAAGGACAAATACTGTATGATTGCAACAACATGAGGGACCTAGAATAGACAATATTATACAGACAGAAGAGAGAGAGTTACCAGGGATGAAGGGAAAGGGGAAGAGAGTCATTTATTTATGGGGTACAGAGTTCAGTTTGGGGTGATGAAAAGTCCTGGAAAACATAATGGTGGTGGCTG